GGGAAAAAATTAAAAACAAAAACACTCAGTTAAACCAGGGAGACAGGAGATGAAGAGAAAGAGAGTAGAGAGTAACAAAGAAAGATCAAAAGGGGAAATGAGAGACAGAAGAAAAGAAGGAAAAACAAAAGTGGAAATAGGATAAAATTCAAGGGAATGGAAAGAGAAGAAGATGGAGGAGAAACAGTAGACAAACCAAAACAACAACAGGAAGAAAGCAAACCCAAAAGCAAAACCAAAAAGACAGCGCAGCTGTTGTATCCAAAGAAGAGAAAACTCCGGGGAGCTCCTATAAGCCAGCTCAGCTCTCAAGGTGTTCAGGGCACTCTATCTGGAAGTAGTACCTGGTGGTCCTTGATGGTGCTGTTTTCGGTGTGTGTTAGGACCACAGGGCAGCTGGGGACAGGGTGACTGGTTAAATGCTGGTCTGGTGGCTCTGTACGTTCTGTAGGTCCTATACTAGCTCACCTTAATCCAGGCACCAAAATAGCGCACCAGAGTGGTGCAGCTGGCTCCCCGCTTCACGATGGTGTGGCTCCCGATCTAGGAGAGCAGGGTCTGCACTGGTGGTGGGTGAGGGTGGGAGCTGGCCACCAGGGGAACATGGGGAACAAGAAGAAATCTCACCTTTCCAGTCACCTCTTTTCAGATCTCTTGTCAGTATACCTGGGAGTGGAATTTACTGGGTCATATGGTAATTCCATTGTGTGGATCATGACAAGCGATGGACAACATTGCAAAGTATGAGTATTCTGGAACACTTAATTGTGCTCATGAGGAATCTGTTCACGGACCTAGAGGCAGTTGTTTGAACAGAACATGGGAACACTAATGGTTTAAAATTATATGCTGAGCAAATAATCTGAGAAACTGGGTTATATGAAGGAAAATGTGGCGTCAGGATTGGAGGAAGACTCGTTAACAACCTGCGCTACGCAGATGATACAACCTTGCTTGCTGAAAGTGAAGAAGACTTAAAACACTTACTGATGAAGATCAAAGAGCCCAGCCTTCGGTATGCATTACATCTCAATGTAAAGAAAACAAAAATCCTCACCACTGGACCAATAAACAACATTCTTATCAACGGAGAAAAGATTGAAGTTGTCAAGGAATTCATTCTTGAATCAACAGTCAACACTCATGGAAGCAGCAATCAAGAAATCAAAGGACATATTGCATTAGGCACATCTGCTGTACAAGACCTTTTTAAAGTGTTGAAGAGCAAAGATGTCAGTTTGAGGACTAAGGTGTGCCTTACCCAAGCCATGGTATTTTCAATCACCTCATATGAATGCGAGAGCTGGACAGTGAATAAGGAAGACCATAGAAAAGTGATGCTTTTGAGTTACGGTATTGGAGGAGAATATGGAAAGTGCCATGGGCTGCCAAAAGAACCAATAGATCTGTGTTGAAAGAAGTGCAGCCAGAGTGTTCCTTGGAGGCCAGGATGGTCAAATTTTGTCTCTCATACTTTGGACATATTGTCAGGAGTGACCAGTCGCTGGAGAAGGATATCATGTTTGGTAAGGTGGACGGTCAGAGAAAAAGAGGTAGACCCCCAGCAATTGGCCAAGTGGCAGCATCAGTGGCAACAATAGTGTGGTTGGCCCAGGATCGGGCAGTGTTTTGTTCTGTTGTGCATAAGATAGCTATGAGTCGGTACCGACTGGATGGCACCTAACAACAACAACAACAGTGGTGATTCTGGATGTGGTGCACAGGATAATGCACTGGACCACAAGGTCAGTTTGAACCACAAGGTCAGTGCTTCAAACCCATCAGCAGCTCTTTGGAAACCCTATACAGGTTGTTATAAGTCATAATGGACTCAACAGCATTTAACAACAACAATATGGTAATCTAGATTCCTGGTGTGGAGCTATAGGATAAGTCCTGGACTGCTAACTGCAAGGTTGTCGGTTCAAGCTCACCGACCTCTCCTTGGAAATCTATGCAGAGTCACTGTGAGTTGGATCTAGCTTGATGGCACTTAATAACAACAACATGGTAATTCTATGCTTTAGTTTTTGAGGACCTTCCAAAATGTTTCCATACCTTGGAACCCACTTTCCATTCCTACAGCCATGCTCAAGGATTCCAGTTCCTCTACCTCATCTCCCACCGCCGTCTTCATGTTTCCCATAACAGCCATCCTAGAGTGATAAGTTGTTGTTGGTAAGTGCCGTCGAGTTGGTTCTGACCCATAGTGATGCTGTATAGGGTTTCCAAGGAGCGACTGTTGAGTTTGAACTGCCGATCTTGCAGATGAACCGCCTTGAGTTTGCGTGCTTATCCTACAGCGCCACACCAGCAGTAAGCAAATGGTGACGATTGTAGGAAAGACCTTATACCACTGAGACCTTAAATATGCTCATTGTTTTAAATCATAAATTGTCAAAGCTATTTTCACTAATAGAGATGTGTTGTTCATAGCCATATGTGCGTGTTATTTTGAAGGAGATATACTGCATGGTATAATTGGTTGTCAGTATAAAAAGACTTGACTGTTTTTGATAATTTTCTTCTAGTCTAGTAGTTTTTCTATATTAATTTTGTAAAGGCTGCCTGCCATACTGTTGGTTTATAATATCAATTTTTAGTTTTATTTCTTTATGATTTGAGACTAAAGCTTAAAATACATATTGAAATTTTCTTTGTAATTAAGTACATGGTTATTTTATGCCACTCTTCCCTAGAGACTGGAAAAGAAATGATTTCATTTTGTTAAAAAAGATGAATTAAAAATCAAAAGAAAATCCACGTTTATATCAATAACAGGTTTTTTTAATGTCATATCATTCAATGTTACGAAGACTTATTTTTACTCTTCATTTATATTTGTCATTAGAAAATTATTCAATTTGTTCAATTTGTTGTTGTTTTGCCCTAAAATTATCAGTATTCATATTATTGTTTTTTGTTGTTCATTTTCACTACACATTTAATTTTTGCTCTTGTATGCACAAAGATGAAAGTTTTCTTTCTGTAAGTGTAGATTGTTGCTGTGTAGTTTTACTGCAGTGTGAAATCACATATTGCCTGTAGTGGCATTATGACTTTTGTGTTAATGGTGGTAAAGTTGTACTTGATATGCTAGAATTTTTTGCTTTCTTTTTTTTTTTTTTTACATTTAATTAATTTTGTTTTCTATTTACTTACTGAATGATTTGGAAAATCAGCTGAGTTTTCTTTTGTGTTTATTTTAAAACTTAAATGTCAAACAGCCTTGTCAGTAACATGGCAAACTTTGCTCTCTTAGGTAATTTTGTAGACGCCATTTGTTTTTGGATATACTAGTCCGTGAATAAGGAGCTGTGGTAGCGTAGTGGTTACGAATTGGCCTGCAAACCGCGAGGTCAGCAGTTCGAAACTACCAGCTGTTCCGTGGGAGAAAGATGAGGCTTTCTGCTCCTGTAAAGATTTACAGCCTCGGGAACCCTGTACAGGGTCGCTATGGGTCGGAACCGACTCTATGGCACATAATTAACCAACCAAGACCTTGAATGAACAGATTCCGGCATGTAGCAGATGCTTGTCCGTAGTATAAGGAGCCCTGCTAGGGTTTAGCACACAACTGCTAACTACCAGGTCCATGTTCAAACCTACCAGCTCTTTTTCGGGAGAAAATGAGGCTTTCTCCTCCTATAATGATACCGGAACCCTATACAGGGTCGCTAGGAGTCAAAATGGACTCGATGGCAGTGAGCTGGGTTTTTTTGGTTTATAGGAGTCCTGCTGGAGCTGTTGGATAAGCACTGGACTGGTAGCTGTGAGGTCAGTGGTTCAAACCTACCATTCACACCTCAGGAAAAGGATGAGACTACTTACTTTCTGTTTCTGGAACTGATGTGCTGCTACTGGGGCTTTTGGGTTTGCAGAGGATGTCTAGTGCTCACTTCTTATGTGTAGAGTGGAGAGCTGAGAGGGCATGCCCCAGCGCTTTCTCTGTCCCCTCCATACGTCTGAGGCTGTCTGTTAAAGTCAGTCCTCTTCTCAGGTGTGTCTGCAGCAAGGGGACAGCTTGGCCCCTGTACTTAATGATTTTCAAGTCCAGTCAGACTGTTCATTTTGTCTTTGGATTCTCTGTGCACCTGTCAAATGCAAAGGTGTGAGTGTTTTTTGGTTGGAGACATAAAGCTATCTAGTTACCCACCTGCAGAGAGCTTTAGAGTTCAGTACTTAACTGTCCTGCAATTGTTTGGCATGCCTAGTTTCACTTCTGTAGGGGGTCATGTCCCTTGTCCTAGTGTGCGGGAGAAAGATGAGGCTTTCTGTTCCTGTAAAGAAACCCGATACAGGTTCACTATGAGTCGGAGCCGACTCCACGGCACATCACCATCATCACCAGTAGAACTGCTGGATGGGAGATTGACCGTCACCTCATCCATAGTGGAGCACTGCCACACTGGAAATGGGGGGCTTGTGTGGTCCCAGCTGAGCACATTTTTGTGTTGTCTATGTTTATTCACTATAACTTAGGGCTCATACTGAATTATTAAAAGTGATTTGATTTCTAAAGATTAAGCATGCTCATCATTCTTTTGTATTTTTTAACTGTTGGCAGAGTTTGGTTATCCTCATAAATCAAACCCCCTGTCCTTGAGTTGATTCCCGGATTCTGGTTCAAAACAACCGTGTAGGACAGAGCCTTGGAATCCCTTGCCCCTTAGGGTTTCCAAGGCTGTAAACCTTCATGGAAGCAGACGGCTTCATCTGTCTTCTGCTGAGCAGCTGGTGGGCTTGAACCCCCGACCTTTCAGGGAGCAGGTGCTACCAGGGCCCACTGGTTATCCTTATGGAGAGGGATACATTTGTCCTGTGCTTGGTTTTTGTTGTTGTTGTTGTTTTAAATGCATAATGGGAGTATTTTAAACTGTCTTATGTTGTTCTGATGTGTTTTGTTTTTTAATGCATAATGGGAGTATTTCAAACTGACATCTGTCTGCTGACCTCTAAAATGGGTCGTTTCCCTCTGTTTGGTGCTGACATGTTTTCAGAAGGAGAAGCTGCTGACGATATTGGAGTCACTGGGGGAGACCATATGCCACCATCAGAGCAGGGTCAATGTGGAGCAGCCGGAGGCCGTCCAGGGGCACCACAGGATGGTCTTCGTCAGCATCTCACTCTTCACTGTGCGCCTCTTGCAAACGCTGCTGCCCGTGGAAAAGGTAAGGTACCAGCGGTGTGCACCTGTGGTTTACTGGCTGCTGCAGGGACACACCTGATATAACTTTCTCCCAGTCACCTCTCGGCATTCAGGTGCTCCTAGTAGGTATAGGATCAGAGATGATATGGGAGAAGTAGAAACTGAGAAAGAGCTAACAGTTTTGAAGCAGTTTTGACTAATCAGTTGATAGAAAAGTGTTTTGAAGTTCCAGTTGTTTTTATGGTCTGTGTCTATTGTAACTCTCTCCTTTGGTTCATTCGGCCCATAGTCACTGCTTGCCGGCAGTGGCCTAGCACTGTTGCATGCTGAGGTATAGCATAGACTTACCTGCTCATATTTCCCTCATCAGTTTGGGATCTGTTTGAGGGCAGGGAACAGGTCTCTGATAGGAAAGATATTTTCCCTCATCATGCCTACCACTCTGTTTAAAACAAACCTAATGAAAGCAGCTGCCTTTGCCTTGGTGCTGACTCATGTGGCCCCCACGCAGTTCAGTGGCCGTCATCTTTAGAAGTGGGTTGCCAGGCCTTACTTCTGAGGATCGTCAGGGTGGATTTTGAACCACTAACCTTCTGAGAACCGCTAACAGAGCTCTTAACCATGTACACTAACTACCCAGGGATTCCAGCACTGTACACTAACTATCCAGGGATTCCAGCACTGTTAGGTGTAAGAATGTATTGAGAGCCCACTGTCTCCCTCCCCGCTCCCTAGAAGCGTGCTCCCTGCTTGTCAGCGTTTCCTTCTCTACCGTGATGAGAAGGTATGCGTTCTCACATCCTTTTCTCCTGCGCATTGGCACGTGCAAGACGAGCGTAGGTCCCTCCCGAGCTAGCTGACGGTCCCTGTGGTTGTTGTCTCCTGCTTACTCAAGCCTGTTGGCAGTGGGGGAGCGCCTGGCTGCTGACTGAGTATGCGTCTTAGCTCTCATTTCTCCGCTGGCTGTAAGGTACACAGTGTAGTGGTGTGATGACTGACTGGCTTGCTAACTTAACGTAGTCGTGGGTGGCACCCATTTCTCCTGAATGTCTCCTCTCGTCTCTTCCCCTTTGGCTGCAGCATACTTGCATAGGAGTTCTATTTTGGCATCTTCTCAAAAGAATTTCAGGAGGTACAGGTCTGGCAGTATTCAATATCCTGATGTTTGATCAGTGTTTGATATTTGGCAATTTATTTTATTGTCTAAAATTTTATTTTATTTTACCTTTTGTTTACTTAGATGAGTAAATGTTTCAATAGTAATTAATTTACCATCAGTAATGTCTCAAGGAAGGAGCTCTGGTAGCGTAGTGGTTATGAGTCGGGCTGCCAACCTCAAGGTCAGCAGTTCAAAACTACCAGCGGTTCCATGGGAGAAAGATGAGGCTTTCTGCTCCTGTAAAGAGTTACAGCCTCGGAAACCCTGTGCAGGGTCACTATGAGTCAGAACCAACTCCACGGTACTTAACAACAACAACAATGTCTCAAGGAGCCCTGGTGTGGCACTGTGGGTTAATACACTGGATTGTAAAGTCAGTTTGAACCACAAGGTTGGAAGTTCAAGTTCACCAGCTGCTCCTAGGAAACCCTACGCGGGTCGCTATGGATTGGAACTGACTGGAAGGTCCTAAACAGCAACAGTGTAAAACTTCTTTTTGCAGTTCATGTGTTTTTTCGCTATCCTTTACAAAGCTGTGTTTCCACCATTGATACCAGCATGTTTGCTTCGGTGGTAGGAATCTTGATTCCTACTAATTTACTGTCTTCATTAGCTCCTTTTCTTAAACATTGGTCTTTAAAAAGTTAGCATTTATGTGGAAAAAAAAGTACTTATTCAAAAACATTGTAATTTACAAAGAAGCTTACAGTATTCATTCATAATTTCCAATTAGTTCAGAGAGGTTTCCTCCCTATTTACTTTTTCTTTATTTCCTCTAAAATGGAATTAGGAATATGTTCTCTATAAAACAGATTTGTTTACTTATCATGTGTTACGTGATGTGCATTTCCCATTTAATTAAGCACTTAATACATTTTAATAGAGCTAATATTTTACCTGAAGGAGATTCCATAATGTGTCTAAACATGCCTTTAATATTCAAGCATGTCATTGAAGTCTAGCGTATTGATAAATGATGAGATGTGAGGTATCTGCACATTCCTTTGAACTCGAGTTTTAGATTCCTCATTCCCCAGGTGTGAGCTTTACTGAGAATGTGCTGTGAGCTGTCCGCACACCTCTGAACTCAGGTTTGGATCCCTAGTTCCCCGGGTGTGGCGCTGTGGGTTAATGTGCTGGACTGCTAAGTCGGTTTGAACCACAAGGTTGGCAGTTCAAACCCAGCAGCTGCTTCTCGGAAACACTATACAAGGGTCGCTGTCAGTTTGCACCGACTCGACAGCACTTAACAGCAGCAACAACAGGGGTTGGTTCAGGGATTGCAGTGGCTCCATAAGATAAGCAGTGGACTGTGAATCACAGAGTTGGCTGTTTGAGCCCACCACTGGTCTGCAGGAGAAAGATGAGGTTTTCTGCTCATAGCCTCAGAAACCCTTTTTATTCGCATAAGCCCCGGTTTATGCTAATCAACCGACTCAATGGCAGTTAACAGCAACAGGCAAGCAGGAGTGGTCAGTCAGATGTCCCATTCTCAGGGTCTTCCTGTATTTTCACTTGTGTTATATACTTGTGTTGATAAAGTGGCCATTCCAGAACAAGAAACAACGTGAACAGCATTTTCCCACTTAACTGAAAAAGGGCACCATCCACTCCTCCCATAATCCTCTCTCAGCTGGGTTTGAGAGTTCATTCAGACACTGTGCCTACTGTTACAGGGTTTATTAGGGAAGTTAGCAGGCTGCAATGCAAGATGGGAAACTGCCCAGGACACAGTTCTTCCAGTAAGGACAGCTTCTCCTTGGCCTAGCCTCTGTCCTGCTCCGGCAAGTTCAGGGCTGCCCCACTGTTAGCCTCAGCCTGAAGGCACTCGGCTCTAGCTCCCTCTCTGCACGCGAGCCTCCTCCTCGGCCGTTCAGCTTGACCTGCTCCATGGGCGGAAGCCCACCACTCTGTCCTGTGCTTTGGCTTTGGCTCCTGCTCCTCTGCTACTCCTCCAGTGCCACAGCTTTCTGTCCCTGGGTCGGGGAGGTTCACTGCAGTGACCTCTGAGTCCGAAGGATGTGCTCGCTCCCCTCCTAGGTCTTCTCTGATGGTAGTGAGAGCCCTTCAGCTGCCTCTGAGACGGCTGTGTTTGTACCCGGCAGGATGGCACCATTGACCAGCACAGTTAGCCTTGTTAACGGTCTGCATCATCACCATCAGCATCTTTCCCACCTTTACATCTTGACCCATTAGGAACGAGTGGTTTGGTAGGAGATTATGACACTATGGCTAGAGGAGACATACAATAAGTCACTTTCTGACACCTGCCACCATAGGTCAGGCTTGGGACATTTGTAGATGGAATTGTCCCATGCATGTACTTGTTCAGCACTGTTTCTCTGAGTAGTAGGTTATTTGTTATTCCATTGTATGATTGTATGTAAAAGGTGATTTCTGTATGTGATGATATTTCTTTTAAAGCTCTTTTCTGACTGTATTTTTTAATGTGAGGTTATTATCGATTCTTAGTTGTGGTGCAATATCTCCCATGATGATACGCACGTGTCATTAGTACACTAACTCCAAATGAAAGGTGTGGTATGCATTCGTGAGGCCTCGAGAGAGGTTACTGCAACCAGACAGCGATTTCCTTGGTCTCTTGTTGCCCTTTGATCTTCGCCGAGGAGCCCCGTAGCACCGTGGGTTAGCATTTGGCTGGTAACTTACAGGGCATTTGGAATCCACCAGCTGCTCTGCAGGAGAAAGATGGGCAGCCTTTTCCCATAATGCCTACAGCCTGGGAACGAAGCCCCGTGGAGGGTTCCCTGCTGTCCTCCAGGGTCCCTGTGAGTCAGAATCGACTCGATGGCAGTGGTTCGGTTTGGGGTTTTGGCTAGGTATTAACCATTTCCAGTTTTGTTTTCTAGAATGCTGCAGAAAATAGAGTCTGCACTCTATTTAAAAATAACACTGGCAATATATTGTAAGGTCATTTGTTAGAAGAATTCAACATTAAAATTTAAGTACAGCATTTTGCTGTTGGGAAAATAGAATCACTTCTGTTAATTTAAAATTTTACTGTTGAATCCGGAAGCCCTGGTAGTGTAATGAATGACGAGCTGGGCTGCTTACTACACAGTCAGGAGTTCAGATCTACAAGTTATCCCGTGGGACAAAGGTGAGGCTTGCTGCTCCTATAAAGATTGAAGTTTTGGAAACCTTCTACAGGGTCACTATGAATCTGAACCGACTTGGTGGCACACAACCAACCACTACCACCATTCATCAGTCATTATGTCACTGAAGTGATTTTTTGATTGCAAGAGTGATGATTTTTTTTCAAGTCTAAGTGTTAAAGATTGAACCTGAAAGTTACAAAAGACTTTTGTAAATTGACATTATGATGTCAATTTCCTTTACATGGGATAGAACTGAAAAATTAGTGGTGCTAGAATAACTTGTTAAACTATTACAGATGATCATATTATCCACTGGTTAAACAATTGTTGCAAATTATTTATTTCTATCATAGGCTTCTTCATTATTGTTGTTGTTAAGTGTCATCGAGTCAGTTCTGACCCATAATGACCCTGTATGAGGTTTCCAAGGAGCGGCTGGTGAGCTTGAACCACCGACCTTGTGGTTCAAACTGACTTTGCAGTCCAGCACATTAGCCCACAGCGCCACTCCAGAACTTCATAGTTAGTTGTTTATGTGAGTATAGATATGTTTGTTTGTTTGTAGTATGCACATATTTGAAAGAGTTAACCACTAAGCCACCAAAGCCCTGCAAATGCACATAGGCTACGAACTAACAAATGTATACTCAGACAGGCAATACACAGAACCAGAAGGTGGTTTAAACCCAGCAACTGCTCTGGGAGGAAGGTGTGGCCGTCTGCATCCTTCAAGAGGCTCGGCCCTGGCAGGCCTAGCGGGCAGCTCTGCTCTTCTCTGTAGGGTCGTTGAGTTGGAGATGACTCCATGGCAGTGGCTTTGGTTTGGTGAATCAGTTAAATGTCAATTAAAATGTCAACTGATCATTTATTATTCCCCTCCTAGTTTAGTGCTAGCATACTATAATGTCAACTCTAAATGCTTTTTTGAAAGGTAGTTATTTTTTCTTTTAAATTTATTTTTTTCATTTGAAAGCAAATCTGTATCTTTCACTTTTGGTACCCCTTTTAAATACAGAACTTGAAAACTTGATTAGGAGACTAAGTAAGGCCATGTTGGAGACTGTGATCCAGGGGTTGTTTATAGACTGCTGTGTTTGCTTTGGTGGACTAAGAGCTGTTAACACAGGAGCTTAACTATGTGCCCTGCTGTGCCGTTGCACTGCTTCCTGGGTGCCATCAGGCAGGGTTGTGCTGCCCTCTGCCTGCCGCAGGGCCAACAGCAGGTATTCTGGAGAGCTTTGAATCCCCATAGCCCAGCCTGGGATTAAGATGCATCGCTGAAGAAGTCGCCTAGGTTTCAAAGCTTGGACCAAACCGTGTCAAAGGCCTTGTCTGGAGAATGAGTTTTAAATCGCTTTCATTGGCTTTGTAGAAGACCAGCATACAGATTAGGTTGTCTCATGAAATGACCTGGCAGGAGAGAAACCAGGTGGTGAAGGAATGAAGGGGAGTCACCTGGGGGTGGCCTGGAGCTGACCTAATTTACAGTGACCTTGGACTCTCTTGGTCTCTTGGGAAGCAGGTGATCGAGCTATTACGAGCAGCCCTGAAGTCTCACCTTGTAAAGTAGTGAAGTCCCTTACTGACTGGTGCCCTTGGCTTTGGAAAAATAACCTTAGAGGATTTTCTGGACAATTAAGGCGTTCTTCCCCTGCGAGAATGTGCTAGGTGCAGGGCTTCTGCATGTGAACTGACTGATGGGAGCTGTTGTTCCGCCCCCTGGGCTGTCCTGGGGGGCTGTTTTATACAGCACACAGGACATGGTGGAGTGATGCGTAGTTACATGGAAGCAGACTGGCCTCTTAGTGAGCGTCTGTTTAACCTTTCCTTGCTCCTCCTACCTCTAACCTATCTAATTTCAGGGCCACAGCGAACATTGTGAAAGTAAGTGGTAACGTATTTCTTTGGAGAGCTGGGTCCTGGCTAGCTTGTCAGTCATGCAGGATGCCAGTTTTGGTGTCCAGCAGAACACTGTATCGAGAAAGGGGCTCTGTGCTTGGACTGTGTTTGTGTCACCGAGTAAGGTACAAGATGGTGTCTGTAAGCAGGCTTGTTTTCTAAGGCGTCCCAGACTGAGGATGAGCTCTTTGCTGCTTCATGGCCTTTGCCCTGGTCTCTCCCCACACAGCCGTGTTTCCCACCACTTGGTCCATCTCCGGGCAGAGGTCCAGCTTCACTGTGTCTCACCCACTTGTGGCTGGTAGTACATGCAGTGTGGCTGTCTGCGGCCCAGGCTGGGAATGTGATCAGTCCATAGGGCCATGTAAGGATGGAACTTTGGACCCTAGCTTGGCGCTTGGAGTGGCTGAGATGGCAGAGATTCCTACGTGGGGCTGTGGAGTGAGGTGGTGATCCTCCGAGGTGGTGAAAGGAGATGAGAATTTATTGAATGTGGCATGGCAGGCACGCTGCTCAGAGGGTTTACTTTTCTTGGCAACTAGTATTCCTGTTTCACTGACTAGAGTCAGACAGTGCTCTTTAGAACACGTGTCTTGCAGCACAGTGCGGGCTGACTAATTTGGTGAATTCTGTGTTCTCTTCGTAACCTCTTAAAGTGTGGGGCAGGGAGGCCCATGACTGACTGAGGCCCTCACAAGTGAGCATCCTGCTGCAGAGCTTGAACTGCATCTGCAAATGCTACTGCAGCCTCCCACCTTTCCACTTCTACATGAGACACATCACCTGAACTCCAGACTCCTCCGTGTCTGTTCCCATTCACAGTCCTCACTGGGATGATGCTCGCTCCAAACGTAGTTCTCGACTTTCCCTCGTCTGCTTCTTGTCTCAGTCCATGGAGTCTTCTTTTTAGTACTTGAATAGGCAGCCCGCTCAGAGTCATCCTTGATTCCTGTCTTTTCCCCACTCCTCCATCCAATCCCTGGGCCAGTCCTAGAAGGAGGACCTCATAAAGTAGGTCAAGGAGAGGGTCAGCGAAAAGGAGGCCGACCCTCAACAACACGGGATGACATGGTGGCAGTAACAGTGGGCTCACCCTTGGTAGGGATTATGAGGGTAGTGTAGGACCGGGCGGGCACTAATTCCTTCTGCTGTCCAGAGGCTCACTGAGATTCAGAGGCCACGCCACGGTGCCCGCAGCAACCACTGTGAACGTGTGCGTGTCCCCAGATCCTGAGAGCACCTCTCCGGCCCCACTGCTACTTCCTGAATCCTGGGTGGCCGGCACACCGGTCTACACTCTCAGCTCCCCTCTCTTTGCCTTTGACCCTCTGCACTTACAGACTCAATATTCTAACAAAGGTTGGTGTTCAAACCCACCAGCCACTCAGCTAAAGGAAGAGCTGACAGTCTCTTCCTGCTGCAACGTTGTACAGCCTAGAAAATCCTGCGGGGCAGCAGTACGTGGTGTGAGCCGGTGTGTGAGCTGGGATCGAGTCTGTAGCAACAACAGCAATCGTGTCTGCAGATTGAGGGCCTGCTGTCTGCTGCCTGTGAAAGTGGCTTGAACCCACCCAGCAGCCCCACGGAAGAAATACCTGGCCAACCACTTTATTCACACCGAGATCTGATCGCTGGGCCAGTCTCTGGAGAAGGCTATGAAAGGAGGTAAAGTAGGGGGGTCCACAAAAACGAGAAGATCCAGTGAGATGGAGCGACCCAGCGGCTGCAGGTGACAACTGTGAGGATGCCCAGAACTGCGCAGGGTTTCTTCTCTTTAAAGATGACAGATGAGAGAAGTCTATGGGGCAGTTGTAGTTCCGCTGCATGCCATGTGGGGTCACCATGAGTCAGGGTGGGGCTTTGTGTCTACAGGGGGAGGCTGAGTGGTTTGTTTGTTTTTTTGTTTCAGAAATTGCATTAGACATTTATTTTCAAAATCCATCCTTTACAGAGAAGATAAGAAATTTCTAAAGTCCATCTTTGGGGTCTTTGATGTTCTTGCTGACAAAGCAGCCTTTTCAGTTGAGAGAAGTGTTTCTTCGTTTTGCGCGTGTTTTTTGAGGAAGAGAAAGTGGGTGTTGGCTGTGCAGATGTAGGTGTTCTGAAAATCAGTGCAGGCCTCTTGCCCTTGGGTGCAGACGTAGCAGGATTTCGGTTTGCAGAGCTTGGAGTCTTCCTGTGTCTTCAGAGTGGGTTTAGTTGAAGGAGTGCTAGCTAGGGGTGCTCTTCAGCGATGGTAGAAAGCTTCTACTTGCACCTTGAGGTTAACAGTTTTTGTTTCTTTAAACCTGAGTGTTAACCCTGTGCTTCTCGATTAAGAAGTTTCTGTACTTTGGGTGTCAGTTTAGGCTTTGGTCTGAGGCGCACTCGAGAGTTATCTAGTACCACCAACTGGAAACAGTGTGGGCACGATACTTCAAATGTGTTCTTAGCGTAGGAGAGAGCGGGCTTGACCCGGACAGCTGGCGTGTAGCTTTCACGCCGCAGCCTTAAGATAGTGCTTCTGCCGCATTGGCGTCGGTGAGGGGATTCTGATTCTTGCTGGAAACTGCCCAGGGCTTTCCCTCAGAGGCAGTGTGCTCTCAGGAACCCAGCCGCATGCTGACACCCAGTAGGAGCACCCAGGAGACCGTTGTTGAGTGTATACATACAGGTGAGCTCGTTTGGTTTCATTTGTGTTTCCCTCCCACGAAGGCAGCTTTGTCACAGAGTCATGCAGAGTCTCTTGACTCTAGCAGCTGCACTTATTTAGTGGGGTTTTCATTCTTGTGGGCCTAGATGGTAGATTCCTCTGGTTTCTAATACTCATTTGGCAGCTGTATTTCATTTAAAGGCTTTGTTTGCTGAACTCATTCAGTTCTTACTTGTGAACTTTGAGGCAGTTGCTGATTATCCTTAAAACCGGTTATCCACGAGGGAAGTGATGACAAGCCTCACTGTCGTAGTGAGCTGTGCCCGACCATGTTTGCTGAATGGTGAAGATGTGTAAAATCGTACCATGAAGCTGCAGCCATTAAAAACAACCGTAACAACACCAACAGAAAAAACCACAATAAACAAACATCTCTTTTAGTTTTAAATTTATTGATTCAAGGTTACAAGACATATTTCATTTGGGCCAGTAGACATTGTACTAATTTTGGTACAGTTTTGTTCTAAACTATTTAACTTTTTAGAATTGTTTTAAATCTTATGTTAAACTTTCCCTTTCCTCTCTGAAAAACAAAACCAAACAAAAAAAATCCATGTGTGTTGAAACCCATCCTGGACCAGACTTGGTTGAGTGTGAGTGCAGCGTGTGGGTCCTGAGCCCGGGGGAGCGTGTTCAGTGGTGGGATGTGGGTGGGGGTGTGCATAGAATTCCCAGAGAAAGGGTGCCCTGCTTCAAGTCCAGTGGCAGATGTGTAGTAGGCTCAGGGCCCGGGAGCATCTGAGGAAGACTTGATGAAGAACTGTGTTGGGGAAATGGATTGGTAAAAGCGTAGATTTTGTGATGAAGAATTTACTAGAAGGAAGCTGATCTGAATGAATTAAGATAATCAATCACCTGTGCTTTTCACGCTTAAAATTTTTTTTTTTTAATTCATCAAGGCACACCAGTTTTTACCAGAACCTCTGTCAGCGGCATTATTCCTCCTGGCTCTGGACATGCCTTTTTCTCTGGAATATCCAAACATGAACGAAGCTGTGGTGGCCTACTTGGAACAGCTGAATTCTGAAAACTACAGCGTTTACAGAAGGGCTGCGGAGGCTGTTTATTCCATTGAGTGTGCCTGCAGCTTCATGGCTGACGTTGCCAAGGAGGTAAAATGGTCTCACCATCTCTTTTACAACCTTTGATGAGCCAGCCAATGGTTTCCAAATACACGGGGATTGTAGCAATTGATTTGTTAGAGAGTGGGGGATGTTATTACTTGGTAGATCAATTACTGTGTGTGTGTATAGATAGATAGATAGATAAAAATTCATTTGGCATATATATATATATATATATGTATATGTTTAGCAAATAACACTCATATAAATAGCTTACCCAAACACAAAGCCCTTAGGGCTCCTAGGAAAATACTGTGTGTGTCTGTGTGTGCGCTCGTGCGGGGGGTGGTGGGCAGGGGGATTTCATGTTAGGAAAAAACATGTAACACGTGCGTTGTTTAAAAATATTGGTATCGGATTACAGTCGGGCTGTGGTTAGTAGCTTGAGGTAAGTGAGCGGTGTGCTCCCCGCAGCAGTCCTTGACAGTGTCTGCAGGGTCCATGGCAGCTTCTCCTAGAAGTGACTCTGAGCGGAGTGGCCACTGGGCGCACGAGGGCCATGGGAGAGCTTTTCTGTGAAGACAAGCTTGCTTTAGTGTTTTCTAGACACTTATCATATGCTAAGGAGTCCTGGGATGGCTCTGTAGGACAAGCACTGGACTGTTGACCACAAATGTTGGCAGTTCAAACCCACCAGCCAGGGTCGCTATGAGTGGGAACCAACTTGAGGCACTTACCACATGAGAGTGGTATTGAGCACGTCGTCACATTGGAAGGTTGCTGATCTTCACGGAAGACGTTGGCTACAGTTCTTGAGCACTGTCTGCAAGTGCCAGTGTGGGTCCTAAGGACCTTGAAGAATTAGAGACACAGTTCTTAGTCTGTCTGAACCTACTTAGAATTTTCCTTTGTTTACTCACTTTGTTTTGTATTTCTCTCTTCCTTTTGCTACTTCCTGATGACCTCTGGCTTCTTGTTTGCCATCATGATTTGTTGTTGTGACATGCTGATGCATAGTGACCCTGTCGAGGGTTTCCAAGGAGGGTTCCCACTGCTGACCTGCGGTTAGCAGGCCAGTACTTCTCCTACAGCGGCACATCAGGACTCAGCACGATAGACTTTGGGATTGTCTTCCAGTAGAGGGATTTTGGTTAGGCATGGCCCAGTGGTCATACCTGTGTTGGACGTCCTCTGTGTTCTAGAACCAGTCAGGACCTTATACAAGCATGTGGGCCCTGCCCTTGAGGCTGAGTTAGGAGGGAACCTGGCTCGGCAGTTGCAGTGTCACCTGAAGCCTGTTCAGGGTCACACAGGAGAAAGTCTTCTGGGGTGCTAGGCTTGCGAGTTTCCCACATTTCCCTCTGGACTGATATCTTCATTTTGCTTGTTAAGAAAGTAGTGGAGCCGGTTCTGATCCATAGCGACCCTGTACAGGGTTTCTGAGGCTGAAATCTTTACGGGAGCAGAAAGCCTCATCTTTCTCCCACAGAGCTGCTGGTTGATTTGAACTGCTGGGAAAATGAAGCAAATGTGACACTCTCAGGTCTACGTTGTAACTGCTTAAAGCTGCTTGGTGAGCTGTTGAAGACTTAATGAGACGGGGACTTGACATTAACTACTCCGTTGTGCTGTTTTTTTCAGGGAGAGAAGAATCTCTTAGAACTGCTGGAGCTCGCTGACCAGGCCTTGCGGAGTTTTCCTTTCCATCGGCATTTCCCCCTAATAAAGGAGGTCATCTGCATTTGTTCAAAGATGTAATCTTTTCTCTTTCATCTACTTAGACTATCACAGATCAATGTGCATGGGCCCTCACACTTGTGTTTTTAAATAGTTCAGAAAATGAAGCTGTTCTGAAATCTTTTTATTTTCTTTTCAGTTTAAATAGCTGCTCGATGTCTCAGACCTTTAAACTTTAGATATAGCTGCTCTGGATGGCTCACTGTTTCACTTGGGAGTAAACTTTAAACATGTCATGTCTCTCATGGAAATAAATAATCCTGGATAGTTTTTGGCGTCCATCCAAAACAAGGATTCAAGCACATTTGTTTTTTCATCCTAAATCTTAATTAGTAATTTATATTAGGAAGATTTTATTTTTTAAGTTTTACTACTTTGTACCGTTTTTGTGTCTGGATTTTTTGAAAGCATTAACCTTGCTTATTGGCACTGTGGGTCAATGTGCTGGACTGCAAAGTCAGTTTGAACTGCAAGGTGGGCGGTTCAAACTTATCAACCGTTCCTCGAAAACCCTGTGCAGGCTTGCTATGAGTCAGAACAGACTAGAGGGCACTTGTCCTAAGGACTTTTGGGCACATTCCATTGTGGGACTCAGTATCTTCATTGATTTTTTTGAAAGAATAAATTCCATAGAGTGATACATATCAATGGCTTTTCTCCTGTTTATTTTTCTGTAAAATAAATGAAAAGTATTTCTGATATTAATATGTATTCTTATCAAGCTTTTACAGTGCTAGGGGTAAGGTTACAATTGGTTATTGATTGACTATGAAGGCAATAGAATTCAGAAAGTAGGAGAAGATTGGGGAAAGCCCCAGAAAGAAAACCCACAAGTGATTAAGGAACTAGGGAATGGGTGGGAAAAAACACCAGGGATTTTGAATGTTTTATCTGAAAAATGGCAGCCTACTGATGGGTGGTTGTTTAAATAATAAAAACAGCTGTAAAATGTAATGTCCAAAAACAAAACCCGTGCCATCAGGTTGCTATGACTTGTGCCAACCCTGTGTAGGGTTTCTGAGCCTGTAAACCTTTATGGGGACAGAAAGCCTCATCTTCTCCCACAGAGTGGCTGGTGAGCTTGAACTACTTACCTTGAAGTTAGCAGCCCAGTGCCTAACCCACAGTGCCACCAGGGTGGCAGTGATGAGGTAATGTCCGTATGTGTAAAATTCAGACTAAAGGTGAGGATGTTTAAGCTTGCCGTTTCAGTTTGGCTTAAGGTAAAACACAAACTGGTGTAACCTGAAGACTCAATAACAAAGTTTTAAAGACAATTTGGACTTTTTTGGTACTCTTCAAGAGTGTATCCTCTGCCCTAAAACCCGTAAGTGCTTAGGTGAGGATTTGTGAAAATTGAGTTGGTTTAGGGAATCCCAGTCAAAGGAACCGGAGTAAGAAGCAGCCCGCTCAGTGTGATGTTGTATGTTTTGTTTGAGTAATTTCTTCGCCTTAAACAAGATCTTAGATGTTCTCTCCTTTCATCAGCGAGAAATCGGCCCAGGCCAGCCCGTTACTGCGCGGAGAGGGTCAGAAGGTACTCCTGCGCTGCTTGTCTCACCCAATGCTGAAAGTGAAAGTCGAAACTTACCGTGCCTGTCTGGAGGTTGTTAAGGTGAAGTTGGGATGGTGGAGGGTGTGTGTGTGGGGGAGCTCCGGGGCCTAGTGGGTTGGAGTTCTAACAGTGGGCTCTCTTATTTTATCCCCAAATTAAATTACATGAGTTACATTAAATATAAGATATTAAATTATATTAATATATAAGAACTCTATTCTCTCATGGTAGATGATAATTCTTGGTCACTTTTATGAAATTCCTACCATTAAACTGGAGTCCTGGTGTGGGCGCTGTGGGTTAATGAGCCACACTGCAAAGCCATTTGAACTGCAAGGTCAGCAGTTCAAGCTCACCAGCTGCTCCTAGGAAACCCTATACAGGGTCGCTGTGGGTCGGTTGACTCAACGGCACTTCACAACAACAACCATTAAACTTTCTTAACATCAAAAGTCTGGTCATTGACTTTGCTTTATTAAAATTCTTATTAAGATTTTAATTTTATTACATGGAACATAATTTATTGTATTTCTTTTATGTTGTTTAGTGATGGAAAAGATTGTAAGGAAAAGTTGAAACAAAGGATTCTAGTGATTTTTACGTTCAGGAAATTTTTGGGTATTGTGGCCCAGATTTAATGATTTCAAGTCTATTTTCTTGCAAACATTTTTCTTTTCTTTCTAAACAAATATATGTATTTTTATGATTTTAAATGTTAATGTTTTAGTCAATAGCAAATCTTATAAGTTTGTTGGGGGCGACAACATGGAGTAGTCAGAAATCAAAATGGCAGCGTTTTCCTAAGGTCAGAGTTGAGAAGGGGAAGGAAGGTGGTGGAATGGAGCTCAGACCCACAGGAAGGAAGAGGGACACTGTTGTTACCTGGAGGGGATTACAGTCATTGAGATGAAACACAGTATAGGAGTGGCTGAATGTAAGTAGAGCTGATGATCTTGCGTATAAATCTTCACTCAATTCACAATGAAAATTTTTGAAAAATGAAGTTTAAAAAACAACAAAAAAATTTAAACACCCGGCATTTCAACTTTCTAAAGAGCCTTGTATATTACGCAACATGGGAGAGTGGGCATGTTCCTCTGTGCTCTTGGACACATCCTCTTGCTGTTAACACTCAAAAAGAAAAGGAGGTGGACGCTGGCCTGTGGCTGGCCCAGGCCCTTCCTGGGCCCTACCCAGTGCAGAGCAGTCAGCTCTTTTCCAGCCCCATCGCCGTCACTCGCAGAGTGTGTAGGGTTGGTGGGGTTTCTCTCTGTCAAACCTCAGTAGGTAAGACTGGCATCTTAAAGGAGGCTGTTTTCATGCATTTAGGCCCTTCATGTCTGTCATCACAAGCCACTTTAAGAGATTATGGCGATTTTAGCAGTTTGGTCATTTAATTTATTGTGATGACTTGTTGGCAGGAAATAATACACAAATTTCATGCTGATTCACAAACTATCAGGCAAGAAGATCTACTTTATCCTCCATCGGTTAAGCCAGCATTTTAACGAGCTGAAAACTCAAATGAGCAGTGAATTATAAACAGCAGAGAGGAGAATCCTTGGAAGGCTGTCTCATTTATTTCTTCATTTGTTTGTTTTACAGGAATGCTTGGGTGTCTGTAACGCCACCAAACCTGTGTCTTCAGTCTGTAACGGGATCCATTTCCTCCTGCATCCCAAAGTGCTGTATGAAATCTCCACGTTTGGCATTCAAGAACCCCAAAATGAGGTATGACCCCAGAAAGGTCAGTTTGGAAGACAGTAAAATCTTAGGTCCTTGACTCAGTCAAGGGGAGATTTTCCTATAACCAGGTATGATGGTGGGGAATTGGGACAAAGCTGGTCTTTGATGTCCGAGCTCGTTGCAGTGTTATTTATAAGTGGAAGGAAATAGGAACTAGCGTGAGGGCCTCCCAGTGCAGCGCACCCTGGATCTGAGAGCGTCCCTGTCACCCAGGTCAGCTACGCTTTTCATCTAAGACTGAGAGCTGTATGAAAGCTCTACCAAGCTGTTTAGCTCATTAGTGAAACTTTCTGTCCAGGGGCTAGGTATACTTGAAAGGTAAAAGATGGGAATTCTGATGGGGGAAAACGGGTTGAAAATGAAATGTGGTGTTGTTACTGTGACGCATAGTGACCCCATGCACAGCGGAATGAAACATGGCAGAGCTTGTGTCCCCCCCACAGTTGTTACTGCCACTGTGTCAGTCCGTGTCACTGAGCGTCTCTGCTGAGCCTCTCCTTTACCAAGCACAGTGTTTCTCTGCAGGGGACTGGTCCCTCCTGAGAAAGTCCAAAGCCGCTGAGAGGAAGTCTCCCATGCTCGTTTATAAAGAGCATCTGGCTGTCCTTCTTCCAAGATGGAACTGTGCAGTCTTTTGGCAGTCCAGGATAGATTCAGTATGCCTTCACAACATCCTAACTCAAATGCTTCGATTCTTCTGTGGTTTTCCTTATTCATGGTACAACTTTCACATGCAGATGTATGAAGCTAGTGGAAATACCATGACTTGGGGCAGGCACACATTAATCCTCAAACTGACATCTTGCTTCTTGAACGTTCCGAGATGTCGTGTGCAACAGATTTGCCCAATGTAATACGTTGTTCGATTTCTCAACTGGTGCTTCCATGGGCGTTGACTGTGGGTCCAAGTAAAATGAAATCCTTGATGCTTCAGTCTTTTCTCCATTTATTATGATGTTGTTTATTGGCCCAGAACAGAATGTGAGATGATGCAGTGGGAACACACACAGTTGAAGGAGGAGCTGTTACTGAATGCCTCAGGATTTTATCAAATGTTGTGGATCTATAAGCCGGCATTGTGGGCGGCTCTTTTGACTGGGCCGTTCTGTCTGTGTTGTTGAGCAGGTGAACGCCACCGCCAAGGCCATTCTGATGTACCTGCTGCAGGGACGCCTGATGATGGCAGCGTCTACCTGGAACAAGTTGGTCGAGTCTCTCTGCCCTGTGCTCCCCGTGCTGCAGGTGCGGACCTCCTTGGGGCACAGCTGAGGTTTGCTGTGAGTGGTTGACATGGCTCGTCTCGGGCAGGAGATGATGGGAGAGCAGTGGGCTGTGTTTTATGAAGAGAACGCAGATTCGGGCCTGGGGCTCTGTCTGGCTCCCCGCACACTGTCACCTGTGCTGTGGGGTCTGGTCGAGTCTCCGGAAAGTGCTCATCTGTGGAAGTGGTTGTTACCAGGATCCCAGGGAAGGTGTGGTTGGCTCTGGAACTTTCTTACTGAGCTTTTTGTGCAACCTCTAGTCTCCTCAGTGTTGTTCTCCAAATGCTGTTTTATTCAAGCTCCTTGCCTCCCGTCAGGTATTTTGAAGTGTCTGTTTTATTGAGCTGGTTCAGAATAACTGTGTAAGTTGCTTGTTTTCAAGTTGGAAAGTTAGGTGGTGGGCATACAGCTCAGCTGTCATCTCTTTATAAACTCCTCCTTAGGGCTATGCGGACCCAGAGGACACCTTGGGCAGCTGCATTCTCCTGCTGAGCAGAGCGGGTCCTGAGGCCAGAGAAGGGCCGCTCCCTTACACGGCCTGGCTCAGGTCTGTGCTGAGGCTCCTACTGGTGAAGAAGCCAGCGTGAGTACAGCGCGTGAGTCCTCGCTGCAGTGTGGACGGTGAAGGGAAACTGCCTAAGGATGTTAAGTGTTTAGGGCAGTCTGGAGGAGACAGAGGTGGACGAGGTGAAGGACAGTCCTTCTGCCTGTTAGAGATGCCACGTGAGAGTGGGGCTGAGCTCAGGCAGGGATTCCAGAGGTTCTTGGCCTCCTCTGTCCGTTTTCCAGCTCACTGTCCATTCTCAGGCCTACCTCAGTCACAGCACAGCCGACTCGGGCTGTGCCACCGTGCCTGTGGAAATCCATGTTGCACAAGTGGGCAGACCCTCCTTCCCCTGCCCTTCAGGACTCGACAGTTTCCTGCAATTGTCCTCTGCTCAGACATTGGTTCTGACAGTTATTTTCTTCATAGATGTCTAGGACCAGTTGCCTTGTCAAACAGAGGATGACAGTATTTCACGTCAGTTAGCTTCTCCACTTACCTGGGACATTGGCGAAATGTCCTTCCCTAACTGTTAGTTACCAGTCATGGTACCGTGAAGCCTGCTTTTCACGAGATCTGGGCCGGTGCTCGGTTTGTGAGCTGAGCCAGCGTGAGACTTTTAAGTCAGGCAGCTCAGGTGTGATTTTCAGACTGGCTGACTGAAGTGACCCTGAGTGACCCTGAGTCTGTCTCTGCATTTGTATTTGTCGAATGCTGATTGCTTTTGATGTTTGTTTCACAGATACATAATATTGAATCTATAATCAAAATGATAAACTACAGATTGTTAATAGAAAATAAACCATCATTATTAGGAATGTTTGAACATCAGTATGACCAGTTTATTGCACAGTGTTGATAATGCAGTAGCTCTTTGTGACTATAGACTTTTATCACATATAGTCATATGTATATTGCATACAGTAACCAGATTGTGTTGTGTTTTTAGGGTCCGCTCCCTTGCAGTAAAACTGTTAGCAGTTCACCTTACAAATGAAGATGAGGCTGACGTGAAACGTCCTTTCATTGATGCCAAAGTTCTCTCCAGAGTTACTAATTTATTTATAGTGAAAAAGCCCATTGAACTCAAACTGGACGACAGAAGAGAAATGATTATTAAGGTGATTATAAGTTTTGTGTTGGTCACTCTGTGGTCATCTGATGCATTGATGTGTCACGTATTGATGTTGCTTCCCCAGGTTTGTTTGTACTGAGCAGTGAAAAGCACTAGCATTCGATGTCGTGCTTCATGCTAATTTCACATTGTGTTGTAACTCTGAGTATGTTTCTATTTTGATGAGGTAATTCTTGAGTGCCTCCTGTATGCCAGGCATTATGTCTCTTTTCATTTTGTCTGTGTACTGGAAATGCAAATTAATTTCCAAAGTATCTTAAGTATCACATAAGCGTAATCTAGCAGAAAGAAATTTTGGGATGCATTTTAAAACAAATATCCTCGACATAAAAAAGATTGGCAGTTGGGAATTGGCAAAAAACACCTTCTCGTGACAACTGTTTTGATCCTTTTCATTATCAGAGGAAAAATAATGTAGTAGACAAGATGTTATCTCTGAATCATTACAGCAGCTCTGAGATGTTGTCATTGGTGTCTTGGCTTGTTGGTGTATAAGGCAGCAAGTCCCTTTCTGCTGTCTGCCTGGGGCTCTGAGAGGGAGCCAGCAGTGGGGGTTCCGAGTCAGTGCGCTAGTTAATTCTCAGGTGAGCCTGGAGACCTGGAGGCTGTCACATACCTTGGATGTTTGCTGAGAGATTTTTTGGGTCTTTGAAGGGTGAGTGGGTTAGGAGTGACTCCCTAGGAGAAGGGCACATTGGGAAGAGAGATGCATTGACAGGTGGCCCTTTGGCATAGAGCCCAACTTCCTTCCTGCCCACAACAGGGCCAGCGCCTGGCTTCCTGGCACGATGACGACATTTTATGGGAGAATTGAAAACAGATGAACGTTAGTAATTTTTTTTATATATAAATTTTCAGGTGGAGATGGTTGAGAAAGTCTCTGAAGTTTTTACCTCAGATGGCGTAGACTTTGCTCTGAGAAGGCCAGCCGCAGAGCAGTTAGCTGTGATTCTACAAGGTACTGTTACGTCAGGACCGTGACCGCTGCTCCGCTGCTCCTGGAGTTTGGGCGGCCGTGTCTAGTACTCAGCTCAGCAGGCTACATTAGTGGCTTGTGACCTGTTATTGTGCAGCCAGCAAGCTAAGAATGCATGTTTACATTTTTAAAGAGTTGTAATAACAAAAACACAGAAGCCTGTGCAGCAGAGCCCGTGTGTGACCAGCACCACTGAAAAGTGGTCCCTGTCTGTGGCACTGCAGGGAGGTGGGCCCACCCTGGTCTCATGGCTGACTCTGAAATGCCTTTGGTAGACTTTCTGCCTTGGGAAAATACTGATAAAACTTGGACTGTGAACTGCCGGTCCCTTGTTTCTAGAACGTGATGTGTTCAGTCAATCTTAGAGAAATGACTCAGACAGCACATTTTTCGGCACGTAAAGTACAAATGAAGAGGCCAGGCCCTGGGGTAGGCACTGGGCTGCTAACTACAGTGTTGGTGACTTAAACGCACCAGTCCCCTCTTGGGACAGAGATGAGGATGTCTTCACCTGTAAAGACGTGTCGTCTTGAAACCCTCTTCAGGGTCGCTGTGAGTCAGGGTTGACCTGATGGCAGTGGGCGTTTCAAGTCCACATGAAGCGCTATTGCTGCTGTAGGTGGTGTTGAGTCAGCTCCAACTCATAGTCACCTGTGCACGGCATGTGGAGACCCTGCCCTGGCCTGCGGCATCATCACAACCATTGTGAGGTCTGAGCCCTTCGCTGCTGTCACTCTGTCAGTCCATCGCCTTGGGGGTCTTCCTCTTTTTCTCCAACCCTCCACCTTACCAAACAAGATATCCTTCTCCAGTGACTGGTCCCTCCTGATAATTTGTCCGAAGTATGAGAGACGAATACTCGCCATCTGGCTTCTAAGGAACACTCTGGCTGTACGTCTGCCAAGACCTATTTGCACTGTAGCAATACACTTTTTTACAAGCTTGCTTTTAAAAACAACTAGTTACGTTTTTTTTTAATGTATCAAATATGAAGAGCAGATTTGATACATTAAACACTAAAGACCGAAGACAAGAAGAATTGTGGGATAACATCAAGAACATCATACAGGAAGAAAGCAAAAAGTCATTAAGAAGACAGGAAAGAAGGAAAAGATCAAAATGGATGTCAGTAGAGCCTCTGAAACTTACTCTTCAGTGGAGAGATGCTAAAGCAAATGGAAGAAATGAGGCAGTTCAAGAGCTGAACAGAAAATTTCAAAGGTCAGCTCAAGAAGATAAAGCCAAATATTATAATAAAATGTGCAAAGATT